ATGCTAATGTGCATCTAACTGACTCAAGCAAATGGGGCTGCTTTTGGAAGGACACAGATAGACACATCTGAAGGTAGTCAAGAGTAGGACATTACCAGGGTTTCACTAAGGACCAGGAAAAGGAAGAAGCAAATCAAAAATTGGGGTTACTCCTTCCCATTAATATGCTAAGGTTCATTCATTTTCACTCATTGCATCAGTTTTCTTGCATTTGGGTGAAAGCAGATGACAAAACAAGGTAATTTCATTAGAGTTCTCCAAACTTTGTGCTTCAGAGATTCAAATCTGTTAAACTGGTCCATCAGCCTTGGTAAAGAATGAGTCACATTGCTGTTTCAGGTACTTAACACACTTCATAAATAGGCACAATGAATGTGACCTTACTTTGAATAAAGGGGACACTACAGAAAAACTCCCCAACATAACAGTTTATTACAGGAGTAAGATATAATTATATCCAGCCACTCCTTGTATTTTTTTTTTTTTAACCTAGGTTTTCTTCCCATGATTTTGCCATGTTGCCGTATCTGCTTCTGACCTTGGGCTGTCCTCCTGACTTGTTAGTTAGTATATACTTGAATTTCATTTCATTTATCCATCCTTGTTTGTTTGAGGGCTGTATAGTTAACTCGTCTTGGCATTGATTTCTGTTCACTGTGAATCAATGAACTGGACAAAATTTTATTTATTCACATCAGCATATCTCCGCAAGTCTCTGGTCTTTAATGATGATTCTCACTGATGTTACTCCCTATCTGGAATTCAGGAGATGAAATCATTTGATAGCTTCACAGATGCAAGGAGCAGCTGGACAATTGTAAGATGAATGGAAGGACACTACTCCCTAATATCCCTGAATTAAAATTGATGATTCAAAACACACCATTCAACTTTAACAGAATTCTTCTAGCTCCTTCTCTGGTCATCCTATCTCAAAGTTACTTTAGTCTCACCTTCTTAATTAGTTTAGTTTTGATTTTTTTAAGATTTTTTTTATATATGCATAAGAGAATTGGGGTACAAGCCAGAGAGTTGGGGGGAGGAGGGTGAGAGGATTCACCAGAGACACAGTGGGGAACAGAACGGCAGATTCACTGAAACACACTGCTTAGGGGAGCAGTGGGCAAGACAGGAGAGGTCTACTGTGCCACATAGGTCAGTTACCTGGCCAGGGATCAAACTTCTACTGCAATGGCTGTGGATAGGTTCATAGTGTTATGCTTTAACCCTTACGAAAAGAGGGGGGCCCTTCTTAATTAGTTTCAAAAGGACATCTTCGGGAGGCCATTTCCTACTAACTCATAGTTAACTAATTATTTTGGTTTTTATTTTTTAAAGAAAAATTTTTTTCACATGTTAAATTTTCTGTTTTTAATTATTTTCCCTCTGCATTATTTATCTGAGGTTATATGACACTAATGCCTATTACTATGATTCTCTCATTTCCAGTGACACAATATTTTCTAATATTTGTTTGTCACAAAATATTTATCCATTCTCATGTTAATGGTTATTTTGTATTCACAAAACAAATAATGATTTAGAAACATTCCCTTGTGAAACATGTACCATACATCGGGAAGATGCATATCCCAAGAAATAGAATAATTAATCAGTCTTAAGATTATCAGTGTCAAAGAGATTGTATCAATTCACATGACCAATGGCAGAGAGATAGAAGAGTCATTGCTCAAAATTTTAGTTCAAATTTTGCACTAAAAGTTTGAGCAAACAGTTTTATATGGCAATAAGATGGCATATTATATTCAGGCTTGATTGAATTTCATTGATTAATAATGAAGTTAACTTACTTTCCTTTATAAATGATCTCACTGCTTCTTCTTTTGGGAATTATATGTTCTTGGTTGTTTTGTTTTTCACTGAATGTATTAATTATTCTTTCTCCTCTTGATATTTAGTGCTATTTACATTATATATATAGATATAGATATAAATACTTTGTTAATTATACATACATGCACACATACATATACAGCTGGGTAATTTAACTTTCCCCTTCCATTCTTCTCCAGTGGTCAGATAAACAGATCAATATCAAACAAATTCACAGGGAAGAGAAGAGTTTAGTTCATAGATAAAGATACCAAATACCCATGAGAGGTTCAGAAACCAAAATGTAAACTGAGGAATATATATTATCCTGCAGAAGGGAAAGAAATTGGGATTTTGGACTTTAAAGGAGAAAGAGTGTAATTCACATGCTATAAAGAGAACAGGTGTTCAGTAAGTAGATGTTTATCCTCTCATACATACAGGTCATCAACAATTACTTCTGATAATATTGGGAAAGACCCTCCTTAACTGTTCAGGTAGTTAAGGGAGAGGCAAAAGTTTCTCATGAGCACAGGATCTTGATTGCTCTTAACTCATGATAAATCACATGCCAAAGAGTCTATTCCTGAGATGGCCTGTTCTACATCTCTTAGGTAATCTGAAGCCCTTGATTTTTTAAAGCTTTTACTTCCTTATGCCTTACACATTTACTGTTACTTTGTTTTTATTTATTTTAATGTGGTCACATTTAGAAATATCATATCATATTTTTTTTCTATTTAAGAACTGAATTTTTAATTCTAATCCAAAACAAATATTTTAGTATACTTTTCTATAGCTGGTAAAGATTTTCACTGAATTACTACTTCTAAGGTGTTCATATTTTTATTCTCCTGAAAATTTCATGGGAGGTTCAATTAAAATAGCAGTTTCTCATTATAAACTCACCTTATATTTCTGGGGTCACTTCTTTCTTTTCATTAATTATATGTACTGGTGAATTTATTTTTTTAGTATTTTGTTCAGAAATTTTGCATTATGGTGAAATAGTATTTTCACTTGTTTCTCCTCAATTTTTCTTTTTCTAAATCATTTCCCCCAATATTTTATAACAAGTATTCAAACAAATGCAAAGGCAATAATGTGATAAGCCTCTATGTATCCTTCACCATAAAAGATCAGTCACCACTTTATGGCCTTTTTTGTAATATGTATCCCCCTTTGTTCCATTTCCACACAAGAATCTTTGGAGGTAATACAAATAATAACTTTTTCTGAAATTATGTATTCCTAGATGACACAAAAAGGATAAGTAATATAATTGTAAAACCACAATCACACGAGAAAACTAGAATCTTATAACTATTTCAAATGCTTTGTTTAGAACTAAACATCATCCAGACTTTGCATTTAACTGATAAATCTCTGCAATGTTAGGACTGTCTTATAGCCTTATTTCCTTTAATTCATTTAGAAGAGGAAAGAGAATCACTGCCATAAACAGCTCTCATTTCTAGACTGTTATTTTACATGTTCTTGCAACATGAAGTCTGTACCATCTTCTGTCTTCCTGGAAACTCTTAGCTTAACATTTATTAGAAGTTCTCAAAATTTTATGAGCAGGATGTACATAAAAATATTGAGATATCCAAAACTGTTTCTTAATGTAAGTTGTGGATATTTACAAAGATACCTACTAAAAAAGATTAATATTTCTTCATTTAATCACTCTGGCTATTAAGACATTTTGTTAAATATAATCTTCTATATGAGATTAACTTAGAATTATAGGTAGTTCATTTTCAGAAACTTTAGACTCTGTTTACCAAGCTGTTTATTCTGACAGCATTGAAGTTATTAGATCAACTTCCCAATTAGTGTAACAGGTATTTTTTTTATAAATGTACCCAATGACTGTATTTACAAAATGAATAATCTGTGCTACTGCATATAGTTCATCAAGGAAATCTTGTAAGTGAGAATGAGTTTTTGTTACGTGTAAGTACATGAAGAGAGTGAAAATAGATGGATGACCCTGTGGAACTATTGCTATAGCATACATAACATGTACCCTTCCCTGCTATTCATATCTATGGAGAAACCAACACAATGTAAGAGCAAATGACATTTCACTATAGTTTAAATAATGACAGAAAAACTGTTCAGTTGAAGACACCCATAGTACGCAGGTCACAGTGTTAAAAGGATGCAATGCTACCATCAAACTACCAGCTTAGGTTTGACATGAACTGAGAAACAATGAGATAATGTTTACTCCACAAGGTAGGGGAAAGGCAAGTCTATTATCTGCTAATCCTTAAAAATCTTGACTAGCCTATGGATTTATAGATTTTTCCATGCACCTTTACACTTTTCTATAACAATGAAGCAACAGGCTTGAAATGACTCCTTCACTCAAGCTCAATAGAGATTGTCACTGCAACTATCTCTATAGTCATTAATGCTATTAAGTCACCATTTATAATATTAACTTATCTTCATTAAATTGTACAGAAAGTTTAAAAATCATATTCATATTTACAAAAGCAAGATCTTGAAATTTGCTAAATAAAAACACACCACTATTTCCCTTAACTATCCAATGCCATGACATATTCTAAAATATGCATGGAAATTATACTTCTATTACATCTTTATGAACTCGTTTTCCAGCAAGGATGGAAACGGTGGGGGAAAGTCCTAACATCTTTCCCGAAACACCTGCCTTGGAAAATCATGTCCTGTTATCAGACAGAAGCAATACACCTGGCCACACCCTGTATTTGGCTCACCTGGCCAGGCCCCCCGCCCTTCTCAGAAGAGCTTCCTTCTGCTGCTCCTGCTGTTTGATTAGCATTCCTCCCTCACCTCCTCTTATAAAAGCCCAGAATTTCCTATCCTGTTAAACCACTGCAGAGCCCAGCCAGACTGGTAAGTGGGAGCTGAGGGGAAATGAGTCCCACGGCATAGGTTTGGGGGTGCGTGCCTCACAGTACAAGGAGCCGGGATCTCAGCGTGGTGATCCTGGGGGGCTTGAGCAGAGCAGTGTGCAGACATTCAGGTTCCTTGAGAACTCTGGAAGGGCTGCCGCCGAGAACAAGTGTCTCTAGGGGACCAGACAGAGGACAGGACAGCAGGGAGAAGAGCAGGGTTTCAGGTGTCTCTCTCTGACCAGACCCTTCAGAGACCAGCTGCCTCCTGAAGTCATGGACAGGGTGGTGCGCTCCCGGGCCCTGCGCAGCGTGTCCTGCTCGCTGCTAGCCTGCCTGATGCTCCTGGCTCAGGCCCAAGGTAAGATGACGCTGCCTCTCCGTGAGTGTTCACTTGATGCTCAGGGCCAAGGAAGCAGGTGGGTGACTGATGACGCCTGCGGACACAGTGGCAGGCACCTCCACACAGGGGACAATGAACAGGGGCTGATGGGATTTCCCATGAGGTCAGTGGGCTCTGGATGAGAGGTGGAGCAGGCAGGACATGAAAGGGCAGCCATCAGACTCAGGGAAGGGGGTTGTGGCAACTGTCAGCCCAGGGTCGGGGGACACAGAGCATCTGAATTAAGAGGAAGAGTGCAAAGCAGAGTTGGTGCCTCCGAGGAGAGTGGGTAAGGTCAAAATTTCTTGGAAATACTGACAATGATGAGAGGTTGTCAACAGTTTGGTGTTGCGTCTTCATGTTTTGGCCTGATAAATGTTCTCCAAGGTTGTCCCCACCCAAACCTACACTCCTCTTATTCATTTTCCCACCCCAGGTGAGGACGTGCAGAAAGCACAAGCTTCTTCACGGAACAATTGCCCCACTGGTTCTATGGCCTATTCCTCCCACTGCTATGCCTTGTTCACAGTACCCAAGACCTGGATGGATGCAAATGTGAGTAGGCGCATAGGCATTTGGGGCTCATGAGTTCACAAGGGGCCCCTGGTGGTACGGGGGACCTCCTTTCTCCAGAGTTTCTTGGGTAGGTGAGCATCCCCTACATATGCCCCCTCACATCCCACGGCCCTGCCCCACATTGACTGACCTCTCAAGCTCTTCCTCGTGTGTCCTCTCTCACAGATGGACTGCCAGAGACGACTCTCGGGACACCTCGTGTCTGTGCTCACTGGATCCGAGGCATCCTTCGTGGCTGCCCTGATCAGGAACACTGTGTTTAGCCAAAGTTATGTCTGGATTGGACTCCATGACCCCACAGAGGTGCGATGATTTCTCTTTCTTTCTGCTACCACTGAAGATGCTGTTGCCCGCAACTACTCTCTGTCCCCTAACCTGCCCAGGAAATAGCCTAGAGACCTAGGAACAAGGAGATGCAGGAGATGTGTGGAGAAAGCAAAGTCCCTGGTGTAGGTGAAGAGCTTTGCTCTGTGGAAGCCCCTCACCTAAGCTGAAGTTCTATTGCCTCTTGTCATGTTTTTATGCACTTTGCTCCAAAGCCTCGTCATTCAGTCTCTGGATTTCCAGAGCCTGCACAGACTGTGCAGAGGAAATGCTGCATGAAGTCAGGATGCATTTCCAAGCTGTGGAGCAGACATTTCTCTGAAGCTCTGAGGGCTGTCAGGAATGCACTTGCAATTACTGCAACACCTGTGGCATGCTGCTTGAGGGCTGCCATTGTTTCCTGTGATACTTGAATTGGGATTTCCCCACCGTAGCTAGAGTTTAGGGCAAATTTCCCAGGAGCAAGCTCTGCCACAGCACCTGGGAGAAAAGCAGCCAGTCCTGCTGTTGGGAAAGAGGATCAGGCTCTGAGGTGATGAAATGGAGCATGAGAATCCTCATGGCCATTCAGCCTCACCTGGTTCCACCCTCCACTCCACAGGGTATGCGGCCCAATGCCGGTGGCTGGGAATGGAGCAACCGTGATATCATGAATTACCTTGCCTGGGAGAGAACCCCCCCAACTAGCCCAGAAAGTGGCTACTGTGGAACTGTGTCAAGAAGCTCAAGTAAGAACTGGGACTGGCCACTTTCTGCCCCCAAATTTCCATTCCATCACCCCCTATTTCCGAACCTGACCTTAATTAAGCATTTCTCAACCCATTGAGAGTGCAATTTTAGTTTGCTCTCTCCAACCCATTCTCATTTCTTCTTTCCTTCAGCTTCCTCCCCACAAAGCAACACATGAGTGACAAACTCGACCAGTCTATTCACTTGGTTCTTCTCTCTGCAGGTTTTAAGAAATGGAAAGATTACAACTGTGAATTAAGCCTCCCTTATGTCTGCAAGTTCAAGAACTAAGTTGGACTCCATTCACTGAGTATTTGTCAACTTATCATGGACCTGGAACCAATGTGAAGACCTCCCTCCTCCAGGGAGGTCATATTCTCCCTAAACCCTCAGATTGACCCATTCAATCTAATATTCCTTCCTCCCATCCCTGTTGCAACCTTTCGTGGAACTGCATGTGTTCTAAGGCCTGAGGCCTATCTAAGCAGTAATAAACACCTTAGTGCTTACTTGTTTATGTTTGCGTTTTGTTTTCACATTACATTTGAAGGAAAACGGAGTGTGAGAGGAAATCAAGGTCTTGCTTGTCGATTTCATGCAACCCCCAGAAAATGACTAAATGCTCAATATCACCCATGTGTTTGTGATGTGTGTGCAAGTTCTGTTCACGTACAGACTGTCTGTGTCTAGCACAGAGCAACATATTGCTCTCTACAGACTCCATTGTACATTCCTGCTGGTGTGTGATGTTTGTTGAATAACAGCTCTGAAATCATGTACTGTAAACAATCTTTTTTTTTTTTTCTAAACTAGCTTTGAGTAAGACTTTTATAAAATACAGTGGGAAATAGATTCTTTGGGTTTCAGGGTACAGCACTCGTAATTAAAGTATTTTCACTGGCATTCTAAAACATGAAACAAGAAAGTTGACCAATTTGAAAGCAATGATGATGTTTTCTTTGGATATTTATCCTAATATATGAACAGCCTCTTCAATATATAGAAATCTTACTAGCATTTTCCCTAATCTAAAAGAGTTGCTTATTTCACAACCTTTAAGAACATCAATGGTATTTTTGAGTAATAACTTTGGGTGTTTTAAGAAATTTCTAGTGCCCAAATCTTAGGGAGGTCTCCAAGATTTCACGGATGTTAACTTTAGCAACCCAAATAGAGTCTTGTTGTGAGAAAAACATTTTTTCTTATTTGTTTATATAAAACATTATTGGTTCTGATCTTGAATTTTCTTTTTGGCCATTTTTATATAGGTGTTCCCTTTAACCACATTTCCTACATTTTCTTCTCCTGGTAAATTCTAACGTAACTTTCTCAATGGAAATTGAGAGCAGAAATTGTTGGGCAGTTTCTAGTACTCCACCCTTCTTAGCTGTTCTATCCCATCAAAACTTCCGTCATTTCATTTCTTCCAAGGAGTCCATGTTTCTATTTGTACACATTTGATAAATTCCCTGTCCACTAATATTTATATTCTTTTATCATCTCTCCCTAAAAACTAATCTCACTGAAATTTGGATCAAAAGGTAGGATTGTGTCAGTTTGTAGATGGACCACTACTACCTAAAATTCGCAAAAGAAATTGTATATAATCCGTAACCGGATTTCCAGTAATTTTCTCTCCCAGAACCCATATTCTCACTGAGTTGCAATTCAATAATGCTTCATTTATTTTGTTGTTAAAATACTTCCAACTGTTTTCTGGTACCTCTTCCATTTAGATCTTTGACTGAACTTCCACAACACCAAAAAAAAAAAAAAAAGTTTTTATTTTTACAATTATTTCCATAATTTCTGGCAGCCTCATTTTATGTAATAACCACTGCAGTCTTGATTCAGCCATTTCACAGAGAAGTGCTCTGGCTAACTTGACAGGACCTCAAGTGTACCTGTCCACCCTGGGTGAACACACTCCCCAGTAAGGCCAACCCAGCAAAGCACAGTGCACTCTGTCCTGCAAACAGCTGCAGCCCACTAACTTGTTTTTAGCAGAAACTGCAAGAAGCCAGAAGGTACTGTACAAACATGCACCCCACCCCCATGTCAGGTACATTTCCTGTTTTTCTACATGTACAAGGCATGTCAGACCCTATAGATACTCATGGGTTGTCCTAATAAACAACTCCAGACTCCTGACACTTGTTTCACCTTCTTGAGGCTCTGAGTCTCCTACTTTAGGGGAACACAGGGGTCAGCATGCCCCTCAGTGGGATAGCAATAACAAAGTGCTTCCTTTTTTCAGAGAATGGCATTAGAATCAACAAATCTGAATACCACAGGTGTCTCCAGCTCCATTACATTCTGTCCCTGGGGCTACCCAGGAACACTTCCATTATCTCTGAGTACTGACATCCTCTTATGCCTTCTCTCAATATGTGAGGTAAAAGCCCCCTTCCCAGGCTTTCATTTCTCAGCTGCTACTTACCTTTCTTTTTGGCTTTTTGTTTTGTCAAGTCAGACAGACTGGGCTTTTATAAGAGTTTCTGAAGAAGGACCCTGAAATGAATAGGCCTTAGGTGGAGGTCTTAGAGGGTGAAGGGCTGGGCTTGCATTCAGGAGATTCCCCCAAGGGTTAGGAAAGATTTCCAACAAAGGCTAGGGACAGCCTCAGGTGTTTTTGTTGGATAGCATGATCCCAGCTCAATGAGCCAGAGGACCTCCATGTTGCTGTGGCAGTACTCTGTACTTGCTACCTCTGCCCACTCTATACCAGGAAGGACAGTTACCAGAAAAGTTTCAGGACCTCTCTCTATAGAGGCCACACAGGGCGGGCAGGGCGAGGCACACTCACGACCTCTATCTATGCTATCTATAGAGGCCACCCGGGGCGGGCGAGGCATACAGGGTACTGGCTACTGGCAGATTAGAACTTCTTGGAACATGACAACACAATCTATGTGTGCAGTTTGAATTATGCTTTTCTTTGAATTACGTGGGCTCGGGCCCATTTTGCGCAGGCTATGACGCAAGTAGTGGCTATATAATCTGGGGCATCTTCCCTGTCTGGGGTTCTTGCTTTCTCTGCCCACGTGCCTGAAGCTTGACCCCAGCTAGCTGGCTTAATAAAACTCCACTTGCAGTTTGCATTACTGATCAGATTCTTTGTGGTTCCTTGGAACTTGTGACACCGGATCCTAACATTTTCTTATTCCAATTAGGAGTCAAACACCTCTTGGTGAACAGATTAAGTTTGAATTTAACCCACCATTGCTCAAATATTTTTGTGTGTGAATAAATGAAAGAAGGCAGCTCTGTGAATCAAATTCTGATATACCTAGTATAGAAATCATTGTGGTATAGTGGATAGCTAAGGAAAATATCAAATGTGTATATTTGAATCTCTGCCAATAACTCACTCCTGTAAGGAAAACTATGAATGCTTAACTAATTATCTTGTAAGATTAAACAAAACCAAATTAACAAGTAAAACGTGTGTGTTTGAAGGAATTAGAAATATTAGTGAGAATAAAGTATGGTTGAGGTAAAAGAAAGAATTGAAACCAAGGAAAGTTTATTTCAGAGTTGCTACCTAAATCTTTTGGCAGGATGAAAAGGGAATATGGAAAAATCTGTAAATACATAGGCAATTCAGTGTTACCGAACGCTAGTCTCCGTTTCCCTCAGCCAATAAAAGGAAACAGAGTTTGAGGAAAAGGAAAGTGGTTTTATTTGTCAACAAGTGAGGAGGGCAGCAGACTCATTTCTGAAAGACCACTGTCCTGCCCTTTGGCAAGCTACAGGCCTATTTATATACAATGTTCAACAAAAAAAGGGGAGGTGGGTGAGGTGGGTGAGCGTCCACAAAGGGGAGGGAGTGAAAGTTAGTGCCCGATGGAGACCAGTAGGCACCAGCCTTTATTTACACAAAGACAAACAAAAATGGGGAATCAGAAAGAGTAATGGGGAGGGGACAGGGTGCAGCACAGGGAGGAAGAGGAGTCATTGCTGGCCAGCTTTCTCACTATTTGCTTTTGTTTGGGATTTCGTTTCCTTGACCCTAAACCTGTCAAAAGAAGAGAAAATGCAAGGAAAAGAGAGAAAAAAGTAAACCCACAGACAATTAAGAAGTCTGGGAAAACCAATTTCATCATAAATTTGTCAAAGGAGGCAAATCCGCAAATGCTTATCTGAGAGCCCATTTATTGTATCAGGTAGAACATTAAGGAATGAGCAAGAAGTAAGGTGGCCTTCCATCAACCTTTGTGTGTGAAGACAGAGTAATACTTTTTCTGCTCTATTCAAATTTTAAGTGGTAGCTTGATATCTCATAGTAGCATTCTCAGATTGTGATCTGCACACAACAAATTGTCAAAACCAATTCATCAGGACAAGGTTATAATCTTCTGAACTGTTAGTATAATGTCAATTGCTTTTTTCTCTTTGCTATCTTTGGGTAAAAGTTCTTGTTCCTTAGCATTAGCCAAACAGTAGCATCAACTTGAATTCTTCCTATTCATGCGCCAGCAAGAAACAAGAATGGCATTTTCATGTATCAATGACTTAGACACAACTTGATGAACCAGTAAAGAAAATTAATTTTGTAAATATCAACTCTTCAATAAATAGACTGGGATGAACACCAAGATCAAAGTAAACTAATCAGGTATTCTCCTGAAAATAAATTTATTCATGTGAATAGAGTTAAAATTTTGAATACCTTGAGTAGAAAGTTTGGAAAAATTCTAATGAGTTAGTCATCTTTGATCAATCTTGTGCTCCAAAGACAAGTAAACTGATGGGCTAGGTGAGAAGTCATTAGAAAGCCCGTGAAATAAAGAGAGAAGAAAGAAGAGACTGACCTTACATTCTGAATTTCTTTTTCCTTTTCTTCAATCCTTCCTGAGGCCAGCCATGTTTCCTAACTTGGGGGTTTCTGGAGTATAGCAAAGATCATCTAGCACTCCTCTGGTTTCTTCTCTGACAGGAGTCAGAACTACATCAGATGAGATAGCAAAGGAAAAACAAGCAATTTAATAACATAAATAAAGAGAAGAGTACATGCTAAAGAATAATGAATCAGACCAGGAATATTTATTCTGTGATTTGTTCCTTGGGTCCTCCAGGACTGAGGGGAGAAGATTAGGAGGCAGTGAGCAAATCCTTATTCAATAGCAAAGAAGAGCTGCTTAGATAGAAAGAACACTTTAAACCTAGAACTGGATGAAATTTCCATTCAAACTGCATTCCTCTAGCTCATAAAAGGGACAGTAGTGATTATTTCTTTGATTAGAAAATGGACAGAAATTTAGGAGAGAAGATCTCATCTTTGACTGGGA